CCCTCGCCGCCCCCGCGGGCTACCCCTGCTGCGGGTCCCGAGGCCTTCTCTGCGCCGATGCTCCCGCCCTCCACGCCGTCGTCTCCAGCTCCGCCCCTCCTCGGCTGCTCCAGGCCCGCTCTTCTGGCCTCTCCTGTGGACACTCTGCCTGGGGTGGGAGAGGCTAGGGTATCCACTCCCATGGCTGCCGAGCCCCCTCCCCCCCGCTCCGCCGCCTACTCCCGCCGCGGCCGATCGACCTCCTCCCCGGTGATCGCTTCCCGTCGGAGTGCGCGTCTGGATGCTGCTCACCCTGAGGGCAACCCGGCTTTGCCCATCCCCGAGCGGGCGGAGCTACGCGCTGCTGCTCATAACCCGGTGCCAGGTACGCCCTCCGTTCCCCCCTCTGCTTCGTCTTGTTCCTTCTCTGCGCTTGAGTCCATTCCTCTAGGCAACCTCGCTAAGGTGGCCTCCGACTCTGTGATCATTTTTAGAGGGGAAGCTGGCCCCCCTTTAGCCCAGATCGCGGCTATCAAAGCTCGCGAGATTCTTGATGGGAGACTCGCGGAGGCCCGTGCGGCTCTCCTCCTGCCTCCGGCCACCCTGCGGTTGGAGTGGCCCCCCCATCGTCCGCGCTGCGGCTGATGGCTCCTCCCCCCTGCGGTTGGGGAGGAGATCCATGGTCGCACTCATTCCCGCACGGCGGCTCTCCGTGCGCAAAGCGCCTATCGTGTCCTGGGGTCAAGAAGCCCCCCAATGGCACCTTAATGCGGGCTCTATTCTAGAACATCCGCGGTTTTGGCCATGATGGTCGATGCCTCCAACTAGTGGACTACATGCGAGAGGAACACATCGACATAGTAGCTGTTCAAGAAACCATGCGTCTCGATTTCTCGCTCTCTGAGCTTGACCGTTTGAGCTCCCACATCTTTGCGTGGCATTGGCTCCCTTCTAGTGGGAGCACAAGTCACTCGGGTGGCATCCTTTTAGGTGTGAAGGATGCCACCTTCGAGGTGGGCAGCATGGATCGGGGAGAATTCTTCGTCAACATGGAGTTGTTCGAGAGGTCTCTCAACTTCAAGTGGGAGGTCATCATCGTCTACGGGCCTGCCGACCATAGTAGGTCGGCCGCCTTCCTTGAGGAGCTCCACCGGAAGATCTCTGCTGCCTCCCTTCCTGTGGTAGTGGGTGGAGATTTCAACCTCCTGCGCGTGGCGGAAGACAAGAGCAATGATAATGTCTGCTTTGCGCGGATGCAAATGTTTAATGACTTCATTGCCGACCTCGCCCTTCGGGAGATCGATAGGATTGGTGCCCGGTTCACCTGGACCAATCGGCAAGCCTCCCCGACCCAGTCTATCTTGGACAGGGTCTTAGTGTCCTCGGATTGGGACCTCCGTTGTCCCCTAGCCTCCCTCCACGCCATCACGCGGATTGGCTCGGATCATGTCCCCCTCCTCCTCTCCTCCGTGGACGAGCGTCCGCTGGTCACCCCTCGTTTCCGTTTTGAGACTTTCTGGATCTCCCAGGTTGGGTTTACCGACGCCGTCTGCGCTCGGTGGATCGAGGCTCGGACCCACCCCCACCCTCGGCCTCCTTCGGCCATTGACGCGTGGCACTTCTGTGCGAAACGCGGCAGGCAGTTCATGAAGGGTTGGGGTGTGAATTTGGGTCGAGACGTTAGGGAGCGTAAGAAGGTGCTGTTATCGGCGATTCAAGCACTAGACCTTCGGGGTGACACGGTGGGTCTCTCTCCGGACGAGTGGCTTTCCCGGTATGACCTTGAAGACCAGCTCTCCGTGATCTACACCGATGAGGAGGCCTATTGGCGCCTTCGGGGCGCGCAGAAATGGGTCTTGAAGGGAGACGCGAATATGACATACTTCCAGGCCATCGCCAACGGCCGCCGTAGACGCAACACCATCCCCCTCTTATGGGATGGTGAGACTCTCCTTCAGGACCCGCGCGACATCCAGGCCACGTTGACGGTTTCTATAGGTCCTTATTCTCTACCGCTCCTAGGAGCGGCCTCTCTCTCGCCCCCGATTGTTGGGCTGGTTCCCAGTTGGTGTCTGCCTCGGAGAACGCGGCCCTGACGGCCCCCTTCTCTGAGCAGGAGGTTTGGGAGGCCATCAAGGGCATGAATTCATCCTCGGCACCGGGACCGGATGGCCTCCCGGTCAAATTTTTCCAGGCCTTCTGGAACGTGATTAAACCAGAGGTCATGGCCATCTTCGATGAGTTCTATGTTGGCTCCATTGATCTTGGGCGCCTCAATTACGGGATCATCTATCTCATCCCCAAGGTCCCTAGGGCTTCCGACATCCGCCAGTTTCGCCCGATCACGGTGATTAACGTGATCTTCCGGATCCTGGCCAAAGGGTATGCCAATAGGGTGACCCTGCTGGCCGACCGGGTGACTCACCAAACCAGTCGGCCTTCATTAAGGGCCGGTACATCCTGGATGGGGTCCTTGTCCTTCATGAAGTCCGCGTCAAACGCCTCAAGGCGTTTTTTCTGAAGATTGATTTCCACAAGGCTTACGATACGGTTAGCTGGCCCTTTCTCTGGGAAGTCCTTCTTCGGAAGGGCTTCGATGATCGGTGGATCACAAGGGTCATGCAAATGGTCTCTTGCGGTCGCACGGCTGTGAACATCAACGATGAGATTGGTCCTTTCTTCCCCACCCTTTGTGGGGTTCGCCAAGGCGACCCCTTCTCCCCGTTCCTATTCAATATGGTCGTAGACGCGCTTGCCTCCATCCTGGATAAGGCAAAAGCCGCTGGCCACATTCGTGGGATTACTCCCCACCTTTCCGGTGGCTCTGGGATTTCCATCCTCCAATATGTTGACGACACTAATGGTCGAAGGCTCGGAGGTGGACATCGCCAACCTCAAGTTCCTCCTTCTCTGCTTCCAACAGATGTCGGGCCTCAAGATCAACTTTGACAAGAGTGATGTTATGGTGATGGGATACTCCCCCTCCGAGTCTATGGCCATCGCCAACAGACTTAATTGCCGCCTGGGCTCCTTCCCCACTTCCTACCTGGGGACGCCCATTAGTGATTCGCGGCTCTCCGTCGCGGACTTGCGCCCCTCGGTGGCCAAGCTCCAAACTCGATGCGAGCCCTGGCAGGGGAGGTGGCTGTCCAAGGCCGCCCGGACTATTCTCATCAACTCATCCCTCTCCAGCCTCCTCCTGTTTCTTATGAGCTTCTACAGCCTCCACGAGTCTCTCCACAAGGAGATCGCCAATATCCAATCCCGCTTTTACTGGGCTGGAGACAATGACAGGCAGAAGTACAATATGGTCAGCTGGCCTGACTTTTGCAAACCCAGGGAGCAAGGTGGCCTGGACATTATGTGCTCTAAAAGGATGAATATTGCCCTTCTCTCCTGTTGGCTTTGGCGCATCTCGCAAGGTCACGGTGGCCTCTGGCTTGACATTATCCAGAACAAATACTTGCGTGGACAACCCCTAGTCTTCTGCCAGAAATCGGGCGGCTCTCAGTTCTAGTAGTCTATTGTCCAGCTTCTCCCGGTCCTCCGCATAGGGACCTCCATCTCGGTGGGATCCGGACTCTCGACGTTCTTCTGGTTTGATCGCTGGGCCGGGGACACTCCCTTTGCGGCCCGCTTCCCCGTCCTCTTCTCTGTCTCCGTCGATCCCATGATCTCTGTTGATAGGGCCCTTCTTGACTTAGGGCGCCTTGCTTTTCGACGGCCTTTTGGGCCCGCAGAATCCGCCGCCTGGCGTGAGTTGCTTGACTGTGTTGCTCTCCATGAGCCTTTGGTGGATGGTGGACCTGACCTGGTGCGCTGGCGCCTTGAGCCGTCGGGCCAGTTCTCCACCAAGTCGCTTTACTTGGCCATTGCCCCATCCTTCGCCCCTTCCCCTATCGATGGTTTGGTCCATCCGCGTACCCCTGAAGATTCGTATCTTCATGTGGCAATGGATTCGCGGTCGGGCCCCGTCCGAGATGGAGGTCCGCAAGCGCAATGGCCCGGGTACAGGCATCTGTCCGCTCTGTAGTGTTCCCGAAGACTCGAACCACATTTTCTTCTCCTGCGTCTCTGCCCAATTCCTTTGGAGTTGCTTTCGAGAGGTGGTCGGTGGAAATTGGTGCCACACCAATTTCCCGGACTTATTTGCTGAACTCCAGTTGTCCCCCGCAACCTCTTGCCACATTAGGTGGCTTGAGGTTGGGGTACTCGCCTGGACCCTCTGGACTGTTCGCAATAAGCTTGTGATTCAGCGTACTCCCCTTCGACGGGCTACTGACGCTCTCTTCAAACTCTCGGGTTTCTTGCAGCTTTGGCGGCCGCTTAGCCGCCCCCCGAACCGCGGCGCCATCTCAGCCTTCATCGCCGACCTCCGCTCGATGGCCGTTCGCCTGTCGCCGCCGCCTCCACCGCCACCGCCGGATCCAGACTAGGGGCTTCCTCCGTCCGGCGTGCTCTGTTTTCTTTTTTGTTTTCTGGGCTTGTTGAGCTGTGCCCTCAGCAGAACCTATGTACTTTGTCGTGAGACTTGGGTGGGTGTGTGAACTTGACTCTGATTGTATGCTCTGTGGCGGTTTGCTTTATATATAAAGCGGGGCGAAAGCCTTTTTGGGTAAACTTTGTGGCTTTGATTATGACCAACGTTGTAGGTGGTTGCGTGCAGTGTGGCCGGGCGTAGCCACAACTTTTCCAATACATGTAGGACTTCACAAACGTTGCTACATGAACCGCGCAACTTCTACTTCCTCCGTTTCTAAATATTTGTCTTTCTAGATATTTAAATGGACTACAATATACGAATGTATATAGATATATTTTAGAATGTAGATTCACTCATTTTACTTCGTATGTAGTCATTTGTTGAAATCTCTAGAAAGACAAATATTTAGGAATGGAAGGAATAGTATTCTGCAAATTTCAAAGGAATTTCAAATGAGAGGAACTCAATATATTTTTACCGGACTTTTTGCATGCAAAATACTCCTAGTACTGATACGTCACAGTAGCTAGCTTCCGGATCAGGTGTATCCAAAAATGATGTCTTCGTCCCTCTGTCCGTCTCCATTGTCCAGCATGGTGGCGGCGGTGCCGAGGGAGACGCCGCGCTTGAGTGCGACCTCGCCAGCGACCTTCTCCCCGGCGTACAGCTTTGCGGACTCCATCTGGCGCTCCAGCTCCCGCTGCTTGACGGCCTGAATCTTCTTAAGACGGAAGAACTCCTCTCTCTCCTGCTCGTCAAGCTCGCCCCTGATATAGGTAACGGTGTTCTCCAGCTGCGGCTTCACTACGTGCTCCAGCGCGTTCACGCGCCGGTTGGTCGTCTTGATCGCCTCGTCCAGCGTCAGGAACGACGTCTGCAGCGACGCCAGCTCCACCAGCAGCTCGATGGCGCGGACGTGCGCCGCACGGCAGGCTGACACCTGCTGCCCGCCGCCCGCGAGCCCGGCGAGCAACGGCGCCCTCGCGCCGGCGCCGTCCATGAAGTGCTCGAAGCAGGGGAGGCGGACGCCGGCGATGTTGTCGTGGTGGGCGCGCACGCGGAGGCGGGCGGGGCCGGTGACGGACTGCTGGATGACATGCCGGAGGGGGCCGCCGGCGACGTAGAGCGCCTCGGCGAGGGAGAGGGAGGCGCCGCGCATGGAGTCGCCCACGGCCTCCTTGGCGGCCACGATGCGCTTGAGGATGGCTCGGAACTGCACGGTGAGCGCGTCCGACTTCTTCTTGAGCAGCGCGTGGCCGCGGGTGGCCGCCGCCAGCCGCGCCTTGATCATGCCCATCACCGTGACCGTCGGCACCACGTTCAGCCGCTGTCCCTGCCCCGCTATGCCGCCGGCGGAAGCTACCTAGTGCTGGCGTGTTGGCTCTGTGTACCTTTTCTTTCTGCCAGGACTCTGTATACTTCTTGATCTGGCTAGCTCGCACCAATTATAGGTGCATACGCAGGCGCCAAAAGGACACGTCGGCGTGTGTCGGGATGGTTCAGGAGAAGATGACACACACTGACACACACGAGAGTGCAACATCTGTGCATGGATGCTCATGCTATTTGGACTATCTTAAGACTTGTGTAGCTATCTGGGTCAATTGTTCATCACCAGAAAACAGCTGCGCTGGTACACAAATAGTCTCTCCGTTCGTCCATGCATTTCTGGCTCAGATTCAACTTCATTCAACGAACCCGAATTGAGCCGATGTCATGCAAGCGCATATCTGCAGGGAATATGAAATATCTGGTCGCAAGTCCATCTGATCCCTAGCTTTCAAACTATTATTGCTTGTTGATCACTGTTTTCACCGCTTCGAGTTTTTTTAGCTTTGGTCTCCTACGGCTGCTATTTGTCGGTGTGTTTATTTGTGCGCGTGTTGATGTTGGTTGTGTGTATCCTAGCTATGCATAGTTCGGTCGGGTGTGTGTTTATTGTGTTTGTATCCACTTGATGCTTCATTTTAAGTTAATAAAATTCATCATTTGTCAGAAAAAAGTCCATCTAATCCCTATCTAGCTTTTGAACTATTTGCTCTTTGAGCCATGGCCTGTAGTGTGTTAAGTACTACTTCTGTTCCATAATAAGTGTTGTGGTTTTAGTAAACCATAACATGTGTTATGTTGTTTAACTCTATACTGCATGTCTTTTGTGAGAATAGGAAATCAAATATTATCAAAGATCCAAAGTTGATTTCATCTTGAAGGGAGATAGTAATACACGATACTTTCAATTGGACATTTGGCATGGTGCTAGAACATTGTTATGAGATGTTTTTGCTGGTATTGAGCCAGATTTGGATGCTCAAGTGGAATTTGGAACATTCCAAAAAGTGTGAGATCCAACTACAAGGAAACAAGCAGTCTGATACACATTGTTATAGTATCTTTCACCTCTCTTTTTTTGATACCAATGGTCAGCATAGGAAGAAATGTATTTTTAGTCTCCAACAAGATGAGAGGGGGATCGAAGGTCAGGAAGAGCTCAAAAGCTATATCACCAAATACTACAAATATCTGTTCAGGGCACTGGATGAAAGGAATTTCACCCTTGATGAAATCTGGACATATGATATTTCACAAGTCACGACAGAAGAGAACGATATCCTCACAACACCTTTCTCTGAAGATAAGGTAAGAGTTGTGGTGTTCCACATGGAACATAACAAAGCTTCAGGCCCTGATGGCTTCCCCGCAGAATTCTATCAGAATTTCTGGAATGTCATTACATTGTTTTCATGCCGGCCAACTCGATCTATCCAGGCTGAACTTTGGTGAGATAGTTTTGTTTCCCAAAATTAAGGAGGCTAAGCGGATCCAGCAATATAGACCAATATGTCTCCTTAATGCCAGGTTCAAGATTTTCACCAAAGTGGCTACTAATAGGCTCAACACGGTGGCTGCCCATGTCATACGACCATCTCAAACGACTTTCATTCAAGAAAGAAATATACTCGATGGAGTAGCAATCCTACATGACTGTTCATGAGATGCATAAAAAACATGAGTGTAGTTTTTAAGATTGACTTTGAAAAGGACTATGAAAAGGTCAAATGGCCGTTTCTTCACCAGCCCTTAAGAACGAAAGGATTCTTAGATAAATGACGCCAATGGATCCCAAGTTTTGTTACTAGAGAGTAGTGTGGTTGTAAAAGTCAATGATGACGCGGGCCATTACTTTCAGACAAAAAAGGGATTACATTAGGGTGACCCTATGTATTTAATGTGTCTTTAATGTTATGCAGACATGTTTTCTATTTTGATTTATCGCACCAAGCAAGATGGTCATATTGCAGTAGTAGTGCCACACATTATGGATGGCGACCTCTCTATTCTGCAATATAACGATGATATGATTCTTTTTATGGAACATGACCTGGACAAGACTCGAAGTTTGGAACTATTGCTTTCAACATTTGAGCAGATGTCGGGCCTCAAAATCCACTTCCATGTAAGTGAATTGTTCTGCTTTGGAGAAGTCAGTGTGGCGGCTGTTGATTATGCTGACTTGTTTGGATGTGCGTAAGGCCCTTTCCCGATTACATATTTAGGATTTCTGATTCATTATCAGTGTCTCACTAAGGCATAGTGGAAAGATGTTGAGGAACGCTTAGAGAAACGGTTGAGCAATTGAAAAGACAAGTTGCTATCTATTGGAGGATGGCTGGTCTTGATCAATTCTATTCTCATAAATATGGTTCTCTATATTCTTTTTTCCAAATCCCAAAAGGGATCTTGCAGAGGTTGGATTATTTCAGATCCAACTTCTTTTGGCAAGGAGACAGTGAATAGAAAAAGAACTGGCTAGCCAAATGAAGCGTGTTTTGTAGGTCGAAAGACCAAGGTGGCCTTGGCATTCATGACCTTCACATCAAGAATGATGCCCTTACTTAGTAAATAGGTATTCATAGTACTTAAATGGGTATTCAGACTACTTACTGAGGTTGGCGTCTACAAACTCTGTTGCGCACAAAGTATCTGGGCCAAAAAGCGGTGTCTCGGGCCTATTGAAAACCTAGAGACTCGCACTTTTGGGTTGGACTAATGGCGATAAAGAAATATCTTTTCTGCTTTGGATCCTTCGCAATAAAAGATGGGTCGAAGATTCGTTTCTGGGAGGACAAGTTGCTTGACAATGCCAGTCTCCAAGAACAATATCTCACTTTATACCGCTTTGTTCATGATTTCTCGAGAACAATATCCCGCTTTATACTACATTGTCCGTGATAAGAATGATACTATTGCACAGGTGCTTAGTTCATCCACTCCAGATATTTCTCTCAGGCGGGATGTGATTGGACCCGTCTTATGTCAAGGTAAAATCTTCTATCCCGATTGGAGTCGATTACCCGACACATGGACAAGATGTGTTTCGCTGGAATCTCACTACAACTGGGTCCTTCACGGTTGGCTCTATGTACCAGGCGCTTAAGCATTCTGAGGTTCCAATGGATAATAATAAGAAAACTTAGAAGTTGAAGATTCCATTAAAAGTTGAAATCTTCACGTGGTATCTTCGAACGATATTTGTGCTAACCAAAGACAACCTCGTCCGTCGCAATTGACAAGGAATCAAGAAGTGTACCTTTTGTACTCATGATGAGACAATCAAACACCCCTTTTTTCCAGTGCAATTGCATGTTCTACATGGTCAATCATTCAAGTAGCGTCTAATTTGTATTCGCCCACAAGTGTTGCCAATATTTTTTTATCATCGGTTGGACGGTATTCTAACTTTCTAAGTAGGTTCAAAACGCTAATAAGGGTGGGAGCATATGCCCGTTATGGTCGCTTTTGACTACGTAAAAATGATTTGGTTTTTAACGATAAAAGTTGTTTTACTTTGCAGGTTATTCTCCGCTGTTGAAAGGATCGATATAGTTGACTAGAGGGGGAGGGGGTGAATAGGCAACTAACAATTTTTAGCTTTTCTTTACCAATTTCAACTTTGCATCAAAGTAGGTTGTCTAGATATGCAACTAGATGGGCAACCTATATGATGCGATAACAACAAGCACACAAGTAAGCAAGAGATGCAACACAATATAAGCTTGCACAAGTAAAGGTGAGAGATAGCCAAAAGTGGAACCGATGGAGACGAGGATGTGTTACCGAAGTTCCTTCCATTTTAAGGGAAGTACGTCTCCGTTAGAGCAGTGTGGAGGCACAATGCTCCCCAAGAAGCCACTAGGGCCACTGTATTCTCCTCATGCCCTCACACAATGCGAGATGTCGTGATTCCACTATTGGTGCCCTTGAAGGCGGTGACCGAACCTTTACAAACAAGGTTGGGGCAATCTCCACAACTTAATTGGAGGCTCCCAACAACACCAGGAAGCTTCACCATAATGGACTATGGCTCCGCGGTGACCTCAACCGTCTAGGGTGCTCAAATACCCAAGAGTAACAAGATCCGCTAGGGATTAGTGGGGGAATCAAATTTCTCTTGGTGGAAGTGTAGATCGGGGCCTTCTCAACCAATCCCGAACAAATCAACAAGTTTGATTGGCTAGGGAGAGAGATCGGGCGAAAATGGAGCTTGGAGCAACAATGGAGCTTTGGGGGAAGAGGTGAGTCAACTTTGGAGAAGAAGACCTCCTTTTATAGTGGGGGGGGGGGACAATCCAACCGTTACCCCCCCAAAACAGCCCCGCAGAGGGCGATACTACCGCAGGGGGCAGCGGTACTACCGTTGGGCCCAGCGGTACTACTGCTCCCCCTCGCGGTACTGTCGTGCTGTCAAGGAGGGCAAGCAGATGGGCACAAAACGGACCCAGTGCGGTACTACCGTGGAGGTAGGGCGGTACTACCGCTTCTACTGCCGCTGCTTAGTGCCGCACAATCCGACATGAGAGGCGACCCCTCGAGTCGAGGTGGTAGGAGCCCGGTACTGCAACGGTACTACGGCTAAGGACCCCAAGGCAGTACTACCGCTGCAGAGCGGTACTGCCGCCTGTGGCTCTTGAGCGGTACTACCGTTGGGTACCGCAGTACTACCGCTGGGACCAAGAAAATGCACATAGGAAGGAAATGGAAGCTCCATCGAAGCAGGATGGTTCAGGGGGTGCAAAGAGGATGTGTACGTGTTGATTCCACCCTAGCCTTACCAAAGTGGACCCCCTCTTGATAGTACGGTGACTCCTACGAAACATGTCCACCAAAACAGAAACGAAAGAGCTACACCGTCTTTGATTAGAACTCCAAGGGGAAGGAATCATCTCGTGCCAAAGGATGAATCTCTGAAATGCTCAAAGCACACGATTAGTCCGCAATCGTGTTGTCATCAATCACCAA